CCTCTTTCAGCCTCACTTCCATCATATACTCCATACGGCTTCTCCCTTCGTCCCCTTGCAACTGAGCCATTAAAAGTTATTTGGAAAGATATGGTACCCAGTATTTGAACATAAAACATAGGTTTAGGCATGAGCAGCAAAAATAATCAATGATTCCATATCAGATTGAAAACTATAAAGAAAACATCACTATCTGTATGAAATCAGAGCATGATTTGCTTGGGATTAGTTTTCTTCATCACACATGGAACCGGATAAAAATCTGCCACTTTTAGCTAACCCTCTTCCTTCCTAATGGTGTGTGACAAATTAAAAAACTACGATTGACGTGGTAAAAGTATGAAGAATAGAATGAAAATAAAAGCATGAAAGCGGTAAATTGGGGAAAGGATGTACAAATAAAAAGACTAAATAGAATCAACTTGAATTAATTAGAATATAGAATAAGTAAACTGAACGTAACATATATGGAAATTTATGCCAAAATTTTATAAAAAAAACTAAATATCTACTGTGAAAATAAACATCAATAAACAAAGATTCATGAAATCATATCCCCAACTTCCACTAAATAAATAACACGGTTGTTAAATTAAACAGAAATAAATAGATACGCCTATTTAACTTTCTTCTATAGCATATCTAAGCTTGATGCAGTAGAGGCTTAAGCTCAATTTCTTTGATCAGACAAAATTGTTAGATGCAATGCCCGACTCATATCCCCTTGCCTGACTCTCATCTACAAGCAATAATCAAGTTCATGTTCTCACAAGCATCTGATATTGCACATAAAGCAATGATGACCTACTTGAAAACAAATAACACTTAAATTATTAAGGAACAAATACGAACAAAAGAAGTTAAACACGAGCCAATCCTTCACATCCGCAAAAACATCATCAAATTACATGCCTTAACAAGACATTTAATGCAATTTGTATGAATCATCACTTGTCAATTCAATTTCTTTTAGCCTCTTTCAGCCTCACTTCCATCATATACTCCATACGGCTTCTCCCTTCGTCCCCTTGCAACTGAGCCATTAAAAGTTATTTGGAAAGATATGGTACCCAGTATTTGAACATAAAACATAGGTTTAGGCATGAGCAGCAAAAATAATCAATGATTCCATATCAGATTGAAAACTATAAAGAAAACATCACTATCTGTATGAAATCAGAGCATGATTTGCTTGGGATTAGTTTTCTTCATCACACATGGAACCGGATAAAAATCTGCCACTTTTAGCTAACCCTCTTCCTTCCTAATGGTGTGTGACAAATTAAAAAACTACGATTGACGTGGTAAAAGTATGAAGAATAGAATGAAAATAAAAGCATGAAAGCGGTAAATTGGGGAAAGGATGTACAAATAAAAAGACTAAATAGAATCAACTTGAATTAATTAGAATATAGAATAAGTAAACTGAACGTAACATATATGGAAATTTATGCCAAAATTTTATAAAAAAAACTAAATATCTACTGTGAAAATAAACATCAATAAACAAAGATTCATGAAATCATATCCCCAACTTCCACTAAATAAATAACACGGTTGTTAAATTAAACAGAAATAAATAGATACGCCTATTTAACTTTCTTCTATAGCATATCTAAGCTTGATGCAGTAGAGGCTTAAGCTCAATTTCTTTGATCAGACAAAATTGTTAGATGCAATGCCCGACTCATATCCCCTTGCCTGACTCTCATCTACAAGCAATAATCAAGTTCATGTTCTCACAAGCATCTGATATTGCACATAAAGCAATGATGACCTACTTGAAAACAAATAACACTTAAATTATTAAGGAACAAATACGAACAAAAGAAGTTAAACACGAGCCAATCCTTCACATCCGCAAAAACATCATCAAATTACATGCCTTAACAAGACATTTAATGCAATTTGTATGAATCATCACTTGTCAATTCAATTTCTTTTAGCCTCTTTCAGCCTCACTTCCATCATATACTCCATAAGGCTTCTCCCTTTGTCCCCTTGCAACTGAGCCATCAAGAGTTATTTGGAAAGATATGGTACCCAGTATTTGAACATAAAACATAGGTTTAGGCATGAGCAGCAAAAATAATCAATGATTCCATATCAGATTGAAAACTATAAAGAAAACATCACTATCTGTATGAAATCAGAGCATGATTTGCTTGGGATTAGTTTTCTTCATCACACATGGAACCGGATAAAATCTGCCACTTTTAGCTAACCCTCTTCCTTCCTAATGGTGTGTGACAAATTAAAAAACTAGGATTGACGTGGTAAAAGTATGAATAATAGAATGAAAATAAAAGCATGAAAGCGGTAAATTGGGGAAAGGATGTACAAATAAGAAAACTAAATAGAATCAACTTGAATTAATTAGGATATAGAATAAGTAAACTAAACGTAACATATATGGAAATTTGTGCCAAAATTTTATGAAAAAAACTAAATATCGACTGTGAAAATAAACATCAATAAACAAAGATTCATGAAATCATATCCCCAACTTCCACTAAATAAATAACACGGGATAACACGGTTGTTAAATTAAACGGAAATAGATTGATAGGACTATTTAACTTTCTTCTATAGCATATCTATATCTTAAGATTGATGCAGTAGAGGCTTAAGCTTGATCAGACAAAATTGTTAGATGCAATGCCCGACTCATATCCCCTTGCCTGACTCTCATCTACAAGCAATAATCAAGTTCATGTTCTCACAAGCATCTGATATTGCACATAAAGCAATGATGACCTACTTGAAAACAAATAACACTTAAATTATTAAGGAACAAATACGAACAAAAGAAGTTAAACACGAGCCAATCCTTCACATCCGCAAAAACATCATCAAATTACATGCCTTAACAAGACATTTAATGCAACTTGTATGAATCATCACTTGTCAAAACAATTTGAACACAAGCTGAAGATATGATGTTTGTGTGATATAATGAATCACAACTTTTAACCAGATCATTTTAGAAGCTTTTATCACTATTCAGACATTCATCAAGCAATAAATTGTGTTGGAAATCTCCTTTTCCAGCTTTTCATGTGCTCTGTTTATATCTTTCTTCAAATAACATATAACCATAAATGGCTTTTTTTCCCCTGCAAAGATCAACAGCAACAACAACAAAGCCTTAATCCCACTACGTGGAATCAGCTACATGAATCTTTTTTTCTCCCTGCAAAGATACTTCCCATAAAATTGCATCATTTCCACTCTCTGCGCTCTAATTTTACCAAATTCAAGCCAATTTGCAAATACACAACATAAGTTATTAGGGCAATATTTGCCACTCAAGAACAAGTTCGTAAGGTGTATTCTTTACTTGGTATGCTAGAGACACCCTTTTCTTCACCAATACACACTCGAAATTAAAACTTCAAAAATTCAAGTTTTATACAACACCTAAATCTTGTTTATTCATAAAACTTACCTCTATAGGTCAATGTTTATACAAAATACCCAAACAATTCTAAATCAAAAGCTGGTAAAAATTAAAATTAGTAATATTTGAAGTATTGAAACAAAATGTAGAAAAGGAAGCAAAAGCGCCCAAGAAAACCATTTCACCAAGACTTATATTTCAATCAAACATACTAAAATAACCTTCAGCCAAATAATAAATTTGAAATTAACAATGCAATTATTTCCAACTGCACTTGGTGAATTCAAATTTAGATTTATATAAATACTGAGAAGATAACTTGTAAGTCGTTGAGAATTTTATGTTCCATCCAGTCACATGAGCCCTAATAGTGAGTGAAAAACTCGTTGATTTTTTTCAAACTGGATGGCATGATAATAAAAAGAGCAAATCAACTGGAAAAATAGGAGTGGACGGAAGCAGGTCAATCAACAAGACTAAGACCTAAATTATGTATTAGATTAAATAACTAGAATAAACTATGCACATGTACAAGCAAGATTCTACTGGGAATATTTTGCCTCATTGCATATCAAATATCAAACTAATACCTAAATTAGCAGAATTCAAGTTGGTTGGTTGAAGTGAAGGAGTGCACCGGGTCAATTGTGTGATAGAGAAGTGCCGATTAGACTGATAGGAAAATTTTCTAAGATAGTGCTGAGACTTGTAATGCTCTATGGCACAACATGTTAGCCGTTAAAAGAGAATCATAAAACCAAGTTAAGTGTTGCCGAGATGAGAATGCTTAGGTGGATGGCTGGCTTTACACTTACAAACAAAAGGCAAAATGAATATATTCGTGATTGGATCAGTGTAGCTCCAGTGGCAGACAAAATTAGAGAGAGTCGTCTTAGTGATTTGGTCACATTCAACGTTGACCACCTGATGATCCTGTTAGGAAAGTAGATGTTTTAGATTACTTTTATGTTAAGAAAGGCAGAGGTAAACCTAGAAAGACTTGGGTATATTGTAAAAAAATGATCTTAATTTATTAGAATTAAATTAAAATATGATACTCAATAGGATGCAATGGAGAAAAAGGATTCATGTAGCCGACCCCACTTAGTGGGATAAAAGCTTGTTGTGGTTGTTGCATATCAAATTACTTATCAAGTTGTTGTCTGCCGAGCCTAATATTAGTTCCTACACAAATCCTCCTTACAAAGTCATCTAAACCATCCTCTCCATGCCGAGCCTAATATTAGTTACCCCACTTCAGTCAAAAAGAAAAATGAGTTTGGCACCTCTTGCTGAGCTCTCCATGCCGAGCCTATATTAGTTCCTACACAAATCCTCCTTACAAACTGGCCTATATCATCCTCACCACAGTAGTTATCTTGCTGAGCTCTCCAGCAGTGAGGGAAGAGGTTTAGCAAATTCGAGAACCGACAATGAAATGTAAATTTACTTGCCGGTTTGGCATTAGGCTGGCGGAAGTAATCATTACTCCATATCAGATTGAAAGCTATAAAATACATCACTGCATGCATGATTTCAAGCATTCTTTGCTGGGAATTAATTTTATTCATCATATGTAGAGCTAGAGATAAGTTGTTACCTCCAAAGCCTTCTTTTTTAATTTCTTCTCACTTCATACAACCTCACTTCCACCATCCCCTCTATATGACTTCTTCCTTTGACACCTTCCAAAAGAGTCATTAAAGACAAATTGGAAAGGTAAGAGAACCAAGATTAAAACATAAATTATAAAAGAAATATAGCCTTAAGCCCGATTGTATTATCCTAATTTTAGAAAGTATGAGTGCAAAATACCCCAAATAATTTAAACTCAAAATTTCAACTCTTTCGAAAAACATCAAAATTTATAACATTGCATTGTACTCTTCAAATTGAACATTTTGATATGTAAAACTAAATGCTAATTTTCAAAGAAGTTTATTGAATTAATTTTGATTTTGATAAAAGTTTCTTAACGTTTTATATAATCTTATCGTTCAAGGGCATTGTAGCTTTTAGTGATAACACGGTTGATGCTAAAAGGAACGGTGGTGATTTGCTTTAAGGTGTGTGTGTGTTTGATGTTTTATCTATCTATCTATCTATATATATATAGAACTACATTCAACCTTATAATCTATATCCTAACCCATTTCCTTCATCCCATAAGCTCCAGGTTGACCAAAACCGAGAGTTCAGGAGAGAAAATCAGGGAAGAAATGGGGAGAAAAAAAAAAGAAGCGGAAGAAAAGAAGAGAAGAAAAATAAGAGGCGGGAAGAGGATGGAAGGAAGAAAAGTGGGGAGAAAAGAAATTTAGCTTTGATTTAAAATTGGGATTATGCTTTTTAATTAATGATTGATTTCAGTTAGGAGTGGTAGGTTTATAAGCTTGTAAGAGGCCACGTAATAATGAGATCGTTTACAAAAGGAACAAGTTTCAGGGTGTCCATTTCTACGTGGTAAATCTTCAAGTGAGTAAAATATGCAAATTGTAATACAGAAATGAATTATAATTTAACTTTTCACGTATACTTATACGCATAGTAGCATTATGTCTAAAATGTATTATATAATCTTTATATTATGGATTTTTTTTTTTACAGCTTATTATTCATCTGCAAATTACAATGTAAGAATTTTATTACAAGCTCGATATTAAACGCATTTTTGATAACACAAATATTTCATTAGCTGTTGATATTGTTAAAAAAGAGCAGCTGACATATGTAAGTTGCTCATTTGCATATACAGTTATTGAGCCTATATCAAAAGTATCACATATTTATTGAAATATTTAATTATGAAAATATGTAAAGCATAAGAAATGTCATGTTATGGGAGGTCAAATTGGCAATGAAACACGTGTGCAAAAGACTCCTCAGTTGGACAAAAGAATTCCCTAGAGATGCAAAAGTGTCGTCAATGTGATTCAATAGCAAAAATGTTAGGTTTCACTTGGACTTGCTAATTTAGCCTTCAAGCTAAAATGATGATGACTAATAACCTAGATAACAATACATGACATATTATGAAGCCAAAATAAAATACAAGACAACAGAAAAAAAAAATAAACAAAAGAAAGATTTTATATATTTAAAATACACGTGTTAGCCATCTTTTGTTGCAAATATTTTATTACAAATGTTATGTATTCATAATATTATAGAAGTGTATGGATCCCATGTGCTCGTTTAATTATTCTTTCTATCATAATTAGCATGCAAGTTATTCATAGTTCTTCAAATTGATGGTTTCAAAAGCTTCCCCAGACCAAACTAAGAAGTTTTCCACTCAAGCCCCATCATTTTGAGCCCTCCAACCCACTGTTAGACCAAGGCCGCACCCCCCTTTGATTGAACTCTTGGTTAGACTCAACCTCAGCTCCAACTAACACTTCGAGCAGGTTCGTTGAACCTTACTGAAGCTTCCACAAGCATCTGATTGAGGCCTCCCCTCTCAGACTCAAGTATAGAACACAAATCCTAATTATTGGCTCGATTTGGGCTTTTGTGAAGAAAAGTTTGATTTCATAAGCATGTAGCCGTCTAGATCTATTTGTATTGAGAAGATGAAGCTGTAGGAACAAACCCGATGTGATTTGGTTGAGTCTAGGCAGAGATCTTAGGGTTTGAAGTTGAACGGTTCACAGGTTCTGGTCATTGAGGACGATGACCCACAGCCATTGGATCGCGCGTGTATCGAGTGGACGGCTAGGTTGGCGCCGCGTGAGGAGATGAAGCAAAAACAACGGGTCGCATGGCAGCTGAGGTGGATGGCGGCGTCTAGTAGCGCGACAACGCATGGAAAGCTCGGAGAGCCGTAGGATGACACGGCAACTGACGGGATTAAGTAGGAAATTAAAAAAAAATTATTTAAATTAATTCCAGAACTTCGAAAATTCATAACTTAGTGTACAAAAATCATAAAAATAAAATAAAAATATTTTGTTGCCCAGTGAACAGAGGAAAACAATATGAAATAAAAATAAAAATTATATGATGAGTTTCTGATTTTTTATTAATTAAATACTTTTTGGAGTTTCTTAATTTTAAATAGCTAAATAATAATCACCATGACTTGAAACTTTAGAATTTTGTTCTTCATAACAGTAGAGATGTTGTGTAATTTTTTCAAAGTCAGAAAGCATCTCTACAAATGTAACCCTAATTTCCAAGTTTAGGAAAATTAAGAAAAGTGATTTTCTGAGTTCTTTGTGTTCAGGACAATTTATGAAAAATAAAATTTATATTAAAATAAATAATTCATTTTTTTAGTTATATTTTGGAATTAAAAAGAATTAAAAATAATTAAAAAATTGCAAAAATATAAAAATTGTCTAAAATGTTCCTAATTGTTTCCTGATCACTTGAGACTCATTAGAATATTTTTCCTTATTTTTTTAAGTTAAATATAAATTTTTAAAGGCTAAAAATGTACTTTCTATAATTTATAAAAATGAAAAGTTTGTTTTTCTGAGTTCTCTGGACTTAGGGAAATTTAATAAAAATATAAAAAGTTGTTTTTGTAATTAAAACATATTTTCTATTTAATTAAATCACTAAAATCACCAAATAATTATGATAATTAAAATATAACTAAAAAAATTATAAAATTTTGTCCAAGTGGTCCTCTGACTTAGATGAACCTCCAATAATTTTCCCATTAACAAAAATTTTACGTTGATTAATTAAATAAATTAATATTAAAATCATATTTTCTAAGTTAATTTAATTATTTAGATTTTGATGTCTTAATCAAAACTTAAGATTAACCAAAGGGAAAATGGGTAATTTTGATCCTAATGAACTCCTTTCGATGTTTGAAATATGATAGGTTCAAAGATAGAAACCAAGTTGCCACATTTACATGATAAGGGTAAAATTATAATTTCAGAAATTATCATGATTTGAAAGTTAATTAAAATTATGTGATTCTAAAGTGGTGGGCTTATGTTAGAAAAATAATAATTCACTTACTTGAAACCCCTAATTTGTGATTAGATGGTAATATGATTTTTTAAAAAGAATATATTTCACTTAAATTAATACTTTGTTAATTACAAATTTACCCATGAAATTGCTAAGGACTTGGTAAGTAGTGAGCTAGGCTTGATATTTAAACTTGTTTAATGAGGTTTAGAAATAAAAGACATGATTGATTAACACCTTTAAACACTAAAAGCCCAATTTTAATGGTGGGTATAAGATTTTTTCATGACTTAAAATTGCATTAGGGGCATCCACTTACATAACTCTTAAGTAAAACATTGAGTGAATACTTGGACTACCCCATTCTTGGGACAATTAAAATATCAGGTTCACCGAGCATAGGGTGTAACATAATCCATTTAAATTAACTGAAACTAAATTTAAAATTTGGGATGATCAATTGAACAATATAATATATTTAAATGAACTCAAACATTTCAAAAGGAATTAAAGGTTGCTAGGTGTTGTTCCCCAAACACTTTTATAACCTTTTGGATATTTTGTAGGATAATTGGATTTATTATACTTTGTTCCAGAAAATCATCCATTAAAACTTTTAAGAACTCACCAAGTTATGACCTGGGGTCTAGTTACTACACCATCGTCTGGTCTTCTTGTTCTTGCAATTAATTTAAATTTTCATGCAAAATTATATATATGTTGCAAGTTCTAACATTTCAGCGGGAGCAACGAGAAGATGACAAGTACGCTTTTACAGTTTTATTTATTTTCTGTCATTTCATTTATTGTAAATTACTACTACTTCTACATACCATGCATGCTTCGGTGATAAAACGATTTTCCAAAATCAATGAACTTTTTCAAAAACATTTTTAAAACCAAAACAAAAAATAATATAACTTCATAACACTTCATTTTGAATTTATGGGTTTCTCGGATAAGGGAACTCACGGTTGCTAATGAGATCTCCCCGGTTTAAATAAGTTTAAAAGCTCGTTTAAGCTAAATAAATTCAAGGAAAAAAAGTGATACCGGAATGAAGAAACTGTGGGACCCTAACCGGTCTCGCTCAAATCAACTTTAACCCCCCACCCCCATTTTGAACTAAACTTGTCATTTAAACCTTTGAACCTTTAAACTTCAGGACTACTACTTTGTCGAGGAATCTGGAGCTAACTCTGTGGGCAACAATCAATAACAACATGAGGATCTACAATAACATGAGGGTGTACAACAGCACATCTTTTCCCTAGAATTTAACAACATAACTCATATGACTTTGAGGTTGTTTGCCTAGTGCAACATAAATCCTCAGTTTATCTTTAGGCATTTGCATTTGCACAATCATGTTGTGCAGTTGTGCAATTTAAGCCCTAACTTGTTTTATGATTCTGAGGTTATCGTTCATCATGACATAAATCCTCCTATCTTCTAAGCTATTTCGATGAAACATTCAATAATTTCTTTCTCGAAATCGGAGCCAAACCATAGGGTACATTAGGAAGTAATTGAGGTTCTCCTAAGGATCTGTGGCAACTCCTAGTTTTTCTTCCTTTGCTTCCATAATAATGTTCCAAATTTGAGTCTCCCATTTGACACTTCTTGGTCTAATCTTTGAGAAGTCCTATTTTGAAATTCTTGGAGACTACTTTCTGATCTAAATCGAGAGTTTTCTTAAGTGACTTCGGTCATTTAACATGCAATTGACTATAAGGGTTTGTCTTTATAGAAAGCTAAAAGAACTCAGGTAATATAAAATCTATCTAATATCTCATATTAAATAAAAGAATTTGTCGATCAACATAAAAATGATTTTTCGCAGACTAAAACGGATGTCACAAAGTCTTTAGTTTATTTAATCGAACACCACCAGCAAGTAGTGTATCTATCCTTCGAGACAGATATATTGCTTGCGATGTTCTGCTCGATCACTTAAACTATTGCAAATATGAGATCGATTCGGTCTTGTATTTTCAAAAATTGAAATACTACTTTTTTCAAAATTATATATAAATTAAATTAAACATCTTTTAAAATCAGGCGACGGGATATCCATTTCGGCGACCGACAATTTCTAATTTAGCGACCGACAGTAGGGTGTGAGTCAATTCTCGAGTAACGAAGTAATCTGAGATTCCATATCATATTGAAAACTATAAAGATCACATCGTTATTAATAAGAACTCAGAACAAAATTAATTTAGCATTAGTTTTCTTCATCATTCAAGGAACCAAAGAACAAGCTGCTACTTCCAAAGTTTTCATCAGAGGCTTTTCTTAACTTTTTCTTGACATTGTTGCTTTGACTATAAGGGTTTGTCTCTATAGAAAGCTTAAAGAACTCAGGTAATATAAAATCTATCTAATATCCCATATTAAATAAAAGAATTTGTCGGTCAACATAAAAATGGTTTTTCGCAGACTAAAACAGATGTCACAAAGTCTTTAGTTTATTTAATCGAACACCTATTACAAGTGATATATTTATTTTTCAGGAATAGTGTATCTATCCTTCGAGACAGATATATTGTTTGCGATGTTCTGCTCGATCACTTAAACTATTGCAAATATGAGATCGATTCGGTCTTGTATTTTCAAAAATTGAAATACTACTTTTTTCAAAATTATATATAAATTAAATTAAACATCTTTTAAAATCAGGCGACGGGATATCCATTTCGGCGACCGACAATTTCTAATTTAGCGACCGACAGCAGGGTGTGAGTCGATTCCCGAGTAACGAAGTAAGCTGAGATTCCATATCATATTGAAAAACTATAAAGATCACATCGTTATTAATAAGAACTCAGAACAAAATTAATTTAGCATTAGTTTTCTTCATCATTCAAGAAATCAAAGAACAAGCTGCTACTTCCAAAGTTTTCATCAGAGGCTTTTCTTAACTTTTTCTTGACATTGTTGCTTTCACCATATGCTCAATACCAATAATTCTATCAATCCCTACTTCAGACGAGGTAAAAGGTAAGTTCGCAAGCTCAAACACCCTCAGCGTCGGTAAAAACTTAAGCCTTAGCCTTCATCTTTGGAGGGGCAATCTAGGTTCGGACCATACGAATGAACAAAGCACGTGGGGCAAAAGCTAGAAGAACTAATATTTATCGATCGACGAGAATTGAATGAACCCATCCAGCCCAAAGATCATACAGTACGAACTCAAGAAGAAGACTACATAATGGATGCTCAAAATCGTGAGAGTCAATATGTAGTGGGATATAGTCATTTGTGTTACATATTTCAACGATACGGCTATCTGGTATTCATGAGGGAGGCATGATGTGCCAAGACAAGGACCACTTGATCATAAATCTAAATACCAAAGGAATGTCGTCCACTTCACTCCATCGTATCCCATGTGGATTTTCTTCATTATCTTAGATATTGCTGTAACAACATCCATATTGAAGAGTTATTAATCCGACGCTGAGGAAACTCGTGTCTATTAGCCTTTTTAGAAACCCTGGAAAAGTGGCCTAGATAGTGTAGCTTCACTTGAACTTCTCTCTCATTAAGTTAAATAGAAAATCAAACAAATTGGTAAAAATTCTATAAAATTATCCAAGCATATATATAGAGCGAAGAACTACAAACGGTATAACACATTTTCCCCCTTTCACCGGCAGAGCAGTAAACAAAAATCTTAGGTATCCATAATACCACAATCAGATGATTGTAGTTTGAAGTAACAGCGTATTTTGAATAAAAAGTCATTTAGTTGCCAGCAAACAAAAAACACATTTCACCCTACAATAAAATTTGCTAGCTATCAAAATTTAGTTATATGTAATCAGAAACTAAGAAAAATCTATAGCATCACAAATTTATCAAATATCATAACTTCTTTTCCACGCAAAATGAGTGAAAATGAAATTACCAAAAGAAAATATTAAAATTATCATTAACAAAAACGTGATTTAAAATTCATGATGAAACAACTTCCAAAATGACATGATGAATTAAGTTTAAAATTACAGTCTTTCTTAGAGAAATTTAGCATCCTTGTAAATTTAAATTTTATATGAAACCAATTAAACCCAAATAGCAGATCAAACAGCCCATAGGTTTTTCCAATCAGCAAATAAGGACAAATGGGGGGAAGTTAAATAGAGAGTCAAGTAGGAGGAAAGGGCTCGAGCAATAAGATTAATCCTTGGGTACATACCAAATTGAAAAATATACATAAGACTTCAGTGGTGTAAGCTTAGAACATGATTTGGTTGCACTTAGCTTTCATTATCACACATGGTTTCAAACATCAAAATGCCACTTCTAAAACTTCTTCAACTTCCCCCTATTACACAATTACACCCTTGCTTCCATTATTTCCATGTGAGTTCTCCCACTGCAACTCTCCAAATGAAAATAAAAATGAGCATTTTGTGAAATTTAAGCTGTGAATTTATCTAGTGAATATAGCAGTAGGCACGAGTAACTGGAGTAATCCCTGCTTCGAAGGTAGATTGAAAATTATAAAGGAAATCATTGCAGGAATGATCTTAAAGCATGCTGCAAAAAATTCTCTTGAAAAATAAGCAATGAGCCTTTTAATCTCTTGCTAAAGAGCTCCTCAATAAAAATATTTAAGAAACTCCTGGGCAATGCATCCATTCTTCATGATAAGATAGCCTAATTTCCCCTATTCAAAAGAGATTCCAATATCAGTCTCTTGAAAAAAACTAGCCCACCTAAGGGGACCATCTCAAGAAAGCCAGCATTAAAGCATACTAACTCTATGATGGCCTTAACGAAAGAAAAGAAAGCATCAATCCATGGAGTGTCTCAAGAACCTTAAAGATCTTTTAAATAAGCAATAACTCTTTGAAAGAGTGAAAAATTTTTCAAGTATCGGTTGAAGAAGGGATTTCAATTGCTCAAAGCGAAAAAGGCCGGAAGAAGTAAAGCCCATCTTTCAAACTATTATCCATACCACGAAATGCTTGGTTGCATGATCCATGATTGTTAACCTTTCAATCACCTACATAAAAATAAAACATTTTTTTTATAATTATAATTAATTTTAACAAGAATTTTAAAAATATGGCTATACTAATTTAAGCGTCGGAGATGGTACCGATAGGCGCAAACATTTCAAAAGCAAAAATAAGGATCGTATGATCAAAGATTAAGCATAAAAAAAAACATGTTGTATACCTAAATGTATACCTGGATATAAATCTTGATTGATGAGCAATTAAATCATGATCGTAGATCTAACTTAAAAAATAAAAGATGGTGGAGATTACATCTCCTCCATACAGCCTTCAATTGGAGCTGTCCATTTCTTCTCTTCTCTTAGGTCATTTGATTAGACGTTATTAAAATGCATGTACTTTAGAAATGCAAAGTAAATGGAATACAAGCATTTTATAAATGTGAAGTTTGAACAGATGCAAATCAAATGCATTGAAATATTTTTACGCAAAATAGGCAATTACGAAAACAACACATAAAACTTTACTATTTATAAAATTCACAACATCTTGCATTCATTTTTTTAAATATTCACCCAAAAATCAGCATTTTCAACAAAAACCCAAAACATATTTTTCACTTCTGTCAAATTCTCAATGATTTTAATGTGGTATGTACAAATATACAAGTTTCATAGTTAAAGAGAAAATAGAGAAATTGAGTGTTATGTATGTAACTCTCCTTTTCGTATTTGTTACATTACAGTTCAAATACTTTAAAATACAATGAATGTAGAAGGGCAATGGCTGTCGGCAATGACAAGCAATAGCCAATGGGCAATGAACGACAAGCAGTAGCAGCCAATGGTGATAGCAACCACAACGACACCAGCAATGAGAGGCAATGATGGTGCGGACAGCACTATCGAAATATGGGTGGAGTCAATGACTGAGGCGATGGTAGCCTTGGAAATGGCTGAGCTCGATCACGTTGACGAGTTACATTGAGTCGCGATTGACTAAAATGGTGTGGTGCACAATGGCAGGGTCAATGGGAGCAAAGAAAGGGGGTAGTGATGGTTGGCAAGGCAATAATGGTAAGAAATAATGGCAGCAACAGAAGATAGCTAGCTACGGTGATTGGGAAAGGCAGGGTTGCGAGCTCTAAGTTTATGCTCCATTTGCAATTGGCCTGATTCAAACGAATTCCAAATTTGTCAAAAAATAAGCATTATGAGGTACTCAAATCAAACCAAATGCCAAAAAACTAAACAAATGCAAACCTTTAACTTTACACTGTTAAAACTTGCAACCTAATAGCCATTATGAGGTACTTAGACCTAACTACCCAAAAAAAAATTGTATTTAATTTACTTCAAACCAAATGCCAAAAGGTAAACACACGCAATCCTTTAACTTTACACACTTTACAACTTGCAACAAAACAGCCCCTTAATAATTGACAACCCTTAACAGCATTTTGGCGACCAAGATGTCAATATTACTCAATGAATCGTAACAAAATAATGATGTAAATACAAAAGCAAGCTGTGTTGTGTGCATCAAAAAGTAAGCAAATATACATAATGGGCTAGAGATCAAAGAAAGATAGCCTAACTTTTTCCGGTGTAACAGCTTAGCTTAATCTTTCCGGTGATTCCAGCGCCTTCGACTCTTAAGAAGAAAGAGGTTTGACGCAACTCAGCTATCAACTCCTAGTAACTTCTTACTGTTTAAAAAATAAAAAAATAAACTTTTCAAGTTAGTTAATTTATTGTTCTAAAAACGGCATTTTTTACCAAAACTTTTTAAATTGTTTTTGCAAACATCCCAAAACATCTTATGACGTGAAAATAAGTTGAAACAAGAAACTTATTGTGAAAAGAATCTAAATATTCTATACATCCATGATCAAGTAAAAGTTAAAAATATATTTATTTCAAAGATGACATTGGCTTACTTTGAAAAGTACAAAGCATAGAAATCACATTGCAGTAGATGTCATGATTAATATCATAAAGCACTGACAGCAATGCTAGCTGCTCCAGCCTTGCCTCATCCAAACTCAAGAAAAATTATCCTGCTGCATCAGAAGAAAATCATGACGCAACGACTAAGTTAGAAATAGTATGAGGTATGTACGGGTATATTAATCAAGGCGAACTGCTTTCTAACAAAAGAACAGGATGGATATAAAACAATCAATCATAACCTATCTTTAAAAGATCACCTAATTACCTATCTGTAATTGACCTTATTCACTTCTCATATTTAGAAACCCATCCTACATTGTCTTTGAGAGGGGGTCAACCGAGTAAGAGAAAATTGATTTCAACATCACTTAAGGAACCTCCTGACAACAAGGAGCCCTGGAAAATGAAATTTTGAAGGTGCGGAAAAATTAAATAGAAAACACGGGGAAAATGGAAGAGATTAATGCCATGATGTCATCTGGTTGTAACCAAAACCATAAGGATCCCAGCCCGAGTCTGGTTCCTTTCTCTTTAATGGAAGCACAGATGTTGAGTGTTGTGAGCTAGTCTTCATCTGTTCTTCCAACAGATTACTGTGCCCTGGCATGAAAAAATGATTCAGACTTCTGGCTTCCCTATTCCCACTGTCCGTCTGAAATAAACCAGAATTCAAATCCATGCCTAGATTAGATGGCTCAACACCATTTAAACTTGATGGAGTGTTTGCTATGCTCATCAAAAAAGGATGATTTGGAAGTGGTGCGCCATGAGGACCTGCGGAGCGCATTAACTGTGACATGACAGTAGATGATCTGGCTTCTGCCATGAGAGGAATGTTTGAATTACCATAAATAGATGGATGGAAGGGAAAAGCTGGTGCAACTCCCGGTTCATTATAACTATAAATAGGTGGCACTTGATGCACGTAAGGCATCATAGGTCTGCCAATCATGAAAGCATCGTAAGTTAATCCAGATCCCACATACGTCTGATAAACTTCATTGGCATCATCCGTCTTTTCCACTGACTTTTTTGAACCCATGATGGGAAGAACCGAAGAGTTCATTGTATTAAGATTCTGAGAACTAAAATCATCGAGTAGAAAAAGGTTGTCATTCAAGTCAAAGTTATTCATTGAAGGCTTTCTTGAAGATGTTGACAATGTAGAAGAAAGGCTCATACTAATCTTTCGTGGATGATGACTTAGAAGTGATGATTGTAACGATTGTGCTTCCTCATCTCCTATTGAGCTAAGATCTAGCTGTATTCTCGCTGCCCATTCTGAACTTACTTCTACAGAGGAGTCCCTGGAAGGGACGCAATAAGAAGCAGGCAATTCCTTCAGGACAGCAGGATCCAATGCCACATTGCTCTCAATCTCAAGTACATTTAAATCAATTTCTATCAAATTTTCTTTTTGTTTTGAATCTGATTTTGTCTTTCCAGGATCTAGAGCCATTTGAAGAGATGCAGAACGAAAAGCACTCATATCAGCAGAACCTCTCCAAAACGGAGCACCTCCAAATTGTAATGGAGCAGCCCATACAGGAGCTCCATTTGAGCCAGAAACAGTTGTTGGTGCAGATAAATTAACAGGATTGCTTGGGATAGAATTCATTGCACAATCAAAATTCTCAGAAAATACATCCACATTCAGATCAAAGTCGTATTTAAACTTCTGAGTCGGATTGCTAGTTTTCTGATGAGCTGCTGCTTGATCAGGTGATTGCAAGCTTTGCTTCGCTTTCCTATCATCAGTGGTCACTTCCAAATACTTGCAATTGTCATTTTTAGGAGAAGAGACAGAATCAGAATCAACATTACCACTCATCGATCCCTTTTCATTTATTTTTCCACTTACTGGGTGGTCCTGCTTATTTTGTGCAATATCAGGAATTGCAGTGCAAATAATATCTCCTGAACTCATGTATGAAGAAGAGCTGCAAGATTGTTCTCTATAATCAACCTCTCTTTCAACTTCGATTGCAACTTGCCGAGCAACTTCCAACGCATCAAACTCTCCAGATTCAAGATCTAAATCTGATTTTTTGTTCAACGCTTTAGTTACCTTGAACTTAGATATTATGGAAGGATCTCCAAAGAGTAATTCATCGGTTCCTCTGCATTCCTTTAAAATGGATTCATTCAAAAGTAGATTATCTTCACTAGCAATTCCATTGGCCTCTTCTCTCAGTGGGCTTCCATTGTCATATAAATTTTCAACTTCTTTGTCAGAATCCCCTTCAGATTTGAACTCCAATGTTCTTGAATTCTTTGACGTCCCTTTATCAGCACCAATACTTTTAAGACTAGTATCCACAGGCTCCAACAGATTAAATCTTCCATCCAAAGAATCTAGAATGGCTGATGTGGTGCATGCCAATATAGGCCTTTTTGTAGGTGAAGTTACAGCTTGGCCAGTAGATGGCAGTACGCATAAACCATCGCTTTGACTCGAATCATATGACACACCCAGCCCTGTGTTCATTTTGGTGCAAATTCCATCATGAATCTCAGTAGCTGAAGTGAAGCACTCATCATGATCGTTTATAAGGGCCTTTGGAAAAACAGGTGTACTGGAAGGTGGCATTACTACCACAGCAACAGAAGATTCATCAGCAGAAAGTTTTTCATCAAAAGAATTCGAATCTAAAGATGGGGTAGGGAATAATGCACTCTTCTCCTTTTTCTCACTTAAAGTGAACAATTTCATTGTCTGATGTGGCATGGCCACTTTCAAACCATCATCTGTAGTATTTGATTGAAGATTGTTGGGACTTCTTGCTTGAAGTCTTTCATTTCTACCAGAGTCTATCACGCAGCTCCCTTCCTCCACTGCTTTTTGGCATGGAGGACTGTCAAAATTTTTATCTTCGCCGTGTTTAACCTCCGCTGAGGTGGCATCAGTAGAAGGTTTTGAACTCTCAACAAGATTCAAGCAGCCTTTCTCCATGTCTTTGTAATCATCATCATTAATCCTTTCAGCATTCCACCTCGCAAGCAATGCTTGTGCCCTTACCTTGATGTCAGTGGTTTTATGACCACACAGTTTCTCAACATTTAATAATATTCCAGTAGCTTTCAACTTCTTAATAACTACAGATAGTTTCTCAAATAATCCCAATAAGACATTTATCAACCTTTGAAGCACTTTTAACCTTTACATATTTGATGGCGAGTCAATGAAAATCTAAAATATTATGGATTATTTACACCAGACGTAATGCCTTAAGAACCAGACGCCCCATTGGAATAAAAGACTAATACCACAATACATGGACCAAGTGAAACATTATGTATTACACGAAAGGTTAATTAACAGACAGCCAAATTGTAGGTTGGGGGAGCTAGGCAGTTTACTTTATGTCATCTGGAGTGATTTCATTAGACCAGGTTGGGGGAGCTAGGCAGTTTACTTTATATCATCTGGAGTGATTTCATTAGACCGAAATCCTTTGAATGAGCACGTCATGGTCTTGGTATTAAATATAATCAGAGGTCAAGCAGATTATCTATGATCACAATTTAGGCATAGGTTGTTGAAAGATCAAATAAATTGTGTTCATTGAAATTTTAATGGTCAAATCTCTCCAGGAAATTTATCGACATATAAGATGCTACAAGTACACCAACAAATATCTATCATCAATCAATATAGTCTGATGATCAAGATCTAAAAAAAATCTATATAGGTGAATCAAAATTTTAATTGCAAGCTAAAGATGAATTTTCAACTTAATTTGTGTATGTATTTGATTAACAATTTTTTTATTAGGATAACTTAGCTTAAATTATTTTTAAATCTGACATTATCTAGTTTGTTATTGTAAGATGGGGTTCCTTTCTTTATGAAGTTTGTTTAGAGAAATGACCAGATTTATTCACTGTTGTAATTGCCTACAAAGAAGCCCTTTCAAACCAGTGAAATTGATCCAGATACTCTCAAATATTTTACTTTTTCCTCATCCTCTCCTCTCTACCACCGGCTCATGTACCCAATAACTCACAACTCCTTCCCGTTTGTAACACATTTTGCAGATCTACTTCTCACAAGTAGTGTAGCTTCTCCTGCAGCTGCTTGTTGCTTTTTGTAGCCCTGCTGCCCTAGTTTTGCTGCTAATATTTTAACATTGTATCTCCTATTTCTGAGTTTTGCCGCTAACCACCAATCCAAGTTTGCTTCCTCTATTTCTGTAATTTTTTAGAGCTGTTGCTAACAATCAGTCCAGGAAACAGAGAAGAACTATTTGTTTGCTGATTTTAGACAATAAAAACCAAGAAACAACAGCCATTACTAGTTCAAGGGAAGAATCAATAGGATGCTTGCTGTTAACAGCAAATCTGGGAAAAACAGTGAATTAACGGGCCGTTTGGGGCAGCTTATAAGTGCAGTCGGCGTTTTGAAAAAGCCGCTGTCCTGTTTGGTTCGCACTTATTCCCAGATTATCAAAAACGGATTTTAAAATTTGTAAAACACGCGGACCTCGAGACGACCCCCGCGGTTTCGATCGAATTACTACTCCCCTGCCCTTGTACGCATCTGCCCTCGTCTAGTAATTATCCTTTGCATTTCGCATGCCCTAAGCGGTCCTCCTCTACAATCCGGTGTGTTTTCTCTCTTCTTCTTCAGCATCTCAATCCTTCAGCATTTCCTTCTTCGGCATTTCTCTCAACAGGTATAACTATTCGTTCGCATGTCTCGTCTTCCTTCTTCGTCATTTGCAGTCCTTCGGGAAATGCGGTTGGAACTCTTTTTTTTGTTTTTTTTCCTATGGATCTGTAAACGGCAGATAAGAAATGTCCATCATGATGTTTTTTTTTAGGGGGGTTGTGAAAATTGATGGATCTGAACCCGTTAGATGTAGATCCTACTCATTGTTTGTTATAATTGGGCGGTTTTGTTCTTTTCGTTCTGGTTTTCAGTTAGTTTTTTATCTCCTGAAAGCTTTACATATATACCACGCGATCTATGTGGATTTATTACATATCTAAAACCTAAACTTCAATTTATACATATTTGCCCGTTATCTATCCTTCAAAATGTGTGTTTCACCTTATAAATGTAAACATAAAGGAATTGGGTGGTTCTTATATCAAATTCTCCTTTGCTGAATTTTTTTTCCCATATGAACGGAGAGCATATTTTTTTAATGCTTCATCAATATTATTTCCGTTCACATGTCTACCACATAAATTACTTATTTCTCAGTTGGGACATTTCTTGCTATGAAAAGAAATATTTTGTACTTATCCGCTAATCTGACAGAGCTCAATGAGTAAAATTAAAGATACTGGATCATCAGTCACGTGGGATAGAGGGGTCACTATTATATTATGTGATTTATCTCTAAGGGAGGTCGAGGTGGGAAATAGGTCCACCACGTATTTTAACAAAGAAGAGTGACAAAATCTTATGGTTAAGTTCAAGAAAGTGATCGGAAGGTATTATGATCGAATGAAATTGAAGAATAATTGCGATCAATTAAAAAAAGATTGAAAAATATGGAAAAAAAACTGAAAATGGAAAAATCTCTGGTGAGTTTGGCCTGCAAGATAGTTAAGGTCAATGATCCAACATTTCATTTCATTCCTTTACAAATTGCAAACGACCCTCGATACACGTCATTCTTCAAGGTTTGCCTTTAATATGTCATTCTTATATCAAATTCTCCTTTATTGAATTTTTTCCCCTATCAACAGAGAGCATATTTTTTAATGCTTCATAAATATTATTTTCGTTCATATGGCTGCCACATAAATGACATATCTCTCAGTTACGACATTTCTTGCTATGAAAAGAAATATTTTGTGATTATCCATTAATCTGACAGAACTCAATGAATAAAGCTAAAGAGACTGGATCATCGGTCAGGTGGAATGGAGAGGTCGCTATTATATTATGTGATCTATGTCTGAGGAAGGTCGAGGTGGGGAATAGGCCCACCACGTATTTTATGGTTAAATACAAGGAAGTGACCGGAAGGGATTATGATCAAATGATATTAAAGAACCAGTGGTATCAATTAAAAAATGATTGGAATATATATAAAGAACTGAAAAGTGAATCAACGGGAATGAATTAAGATCCAGTAAAACGGACAATTGATGCACCTGAAGATTTATAGTCTGAGAAATTACAGGTATATAAATATTTAATATTATTTTATCTTGTATCAAATTTCACATTGAATTTAATTAACTTCATTAATAAAACTTTTTAATCTATTTAAGGCAGTCTTGTTAGCCAAAAAATTTAAATTTATTGATATTGATCCAGTTTTGGAGGAGAAACTGGATGGCATGTTCCCTATGGTTGTCGCAACAGGAACTCATGTGTTCACCCCAAATAATCTAGGTTTTGGCAGCTCAGCACAGGACATGAAAACCGTGCAGATAGGTGAGTTAGGAGAAGGTCCCAGCCAAGTCCACACAGATGTTCAATCTACTAGCTTGTCAAAGCGCCCTAGGGTAGACAACCCTAGGGTAGACAAAAAAAATAAAGTAGCATTCATCAAAGGCATCATTGACACACTGATTAAAACATGCAAAGCAAGGTCTTTTCCCTGGTAGGACAGCTCCATTGACGAATTTCTCGAAGTCCTCAATACATATCATGATGTTAAAGCAGACACAAGCGACTATTTAAAATACGTGAAGGTGTTATGAGACCTAACCATAAGACAGTTTTTTATGAAGTTGGAACTGTAAAACTGTGTCAAATACTTGAGCTCTTTCATGAATGAATGAATATTTAAGATATTATGGATCTTTATTTCCTATAGCAATGTCTCATATTTTTGTATAGACACTTTTTCAATTGTGGTATTATGTTTTTATTTATCATGTACTATGCACTAATTTTATTTTCTACGATTGTGTCTTCTATGTTTCGTCACAATTTTCATGGTGTACTTTTCATTTTTCTTAGCTAATTTTTTTCTACCATCACTATATTTCTGTCATTGTTATGTACTTTTTTTATTTATCTTGTTTTCTATTGATAAAGTTTATAAATTACCCTTGTACTTATTTTGTAGTATGGATGAAGATGAAATTAATCGCATCCGCAAAGTTGCACTAATCATTATTGTACTATTATTATCTTACAAGCGTCAACCGAAACCCATGTATGACGTTGAGTCAGATTGGAAATAGATGGGTGGGTGAGTTATTACGAGGTCATCACACGCGGTTCTTCAATATGATCTGTATGATGAAAGGAATATTTCTTGACTTGCTTAATGAACTCCGGAGCCTTCATAGGTTGCACAGCTCAACAAGAACGATGCCAAGAGAAATACAGGCAATAACCCTACACATTTTATCTCATAATGAATCAATTAGAGGTGTTATAGAGCGATTCTAACATTCATCAAAAACCATCATCATGTATTTCGCTATCAGTTTAAACTCTCTTGTGAGTTTGGCCTGCAAGATAGTTAAGCACGAGGATCCAACATTCAATTTCATTTTTTTACAAATTGCAAACAATCTTCGATACATGTCATTCTTCAAGGTTTGTCTTTAATATAACATTCGTACATTAAATTAATTTACATTACATACGTCAAAAGGTTTTAACTGTAACTTCAGGATTATATTGGAGATAATGATGGAACACGCGTCGATGCACACTTATCTGGTGCATAGAAGGTTGCGTACATTGGACGGTGCAGCACCCCCACAAAAAATGTTATGATCGTGTGTGATTTTAACATGTGTTTTACATTTGTTATGGCTGGATGAGAAGGGAGTGTGCATGATAGACGTGTTTTCAAGTTTACTACTATAAACGATATACATGATTTTCCGTGCCCACCTTCAGGTGAATCTGAGACAGCAATTTTTTTTTTAGTTTTTTTTCAATTTCTAATTAGTGTAATTAAACAAGTAAAAATTATTTGGTCGACGCCGGATATCACTTACAAAAGAAGTAATTGAAGTTTTATCCAGATACGAAGTATCACATCCTCGATTTTGAAAGATCAAGCGGGGTAGCACGAGGCAAGAAAAATTATTTAACAAAAGGCACTCCTCGCACAGCGTAATCGAAAGAACTTTCGGAGTGTAGAAAAAAAAAGTGGGTTATATTACGTGATATGTCGATTTACCTATTTCCGAAGCAAGTACAGGTAGTAGTTTGCACAATGACACTACA